TTTTTATCTGTCACACTTTGTATTCATATTAGATACTCATGTACTCAGTGACACCAGGTTTTGGGAGTGTTATATTTGAAATTGTGAGTTTCTTCCGTTGAATTTAATTATTATTTTTTTAAATTTAAAAGATATGGTGGTTTATTGAGATTTTTGACTTGCCTAGTATTGAGATAGGCGCCATCATGACAGATGAGATTGAGTCGTGACAGTGTCCTTAAATTGTGGTGAGAAAATATCTGATTTTGATTATGCTAATTATTTCATGATTACGGAGGTTATAAGTAATTAAAAGCACCTCTTCATATCTGATTTTGATCAAGAGAGTTATTTCATGATTTTGGAGGTTATAAAAGCACGTCTTCTTATCTGATTTTGATTATAAGAATTATTTCATGATTTTGGATGTCATAAAAGCTGTATCCTTATCTGATTTTAATTATGAGAATTATTTCATAAAATTGGAGGTTCTAAAAGCACGTATAATATAGGTTAAAAGGTTACCAAGATTGTACCAAATCTTACCATAAATCAGTTTTTGCAAGACTATTATCCAAGATTTATTATCATTCATAATAAGAAAACGAAACGGAAATATTTTCCTGAATCGGAACATACAAAAAGACCGGGTAATTTGGTACGTGTATATTAGTCGTTGCAGAAAAGAAAATTGCTAGTACTTAACGGAATGGAAGAGATACATAAACCTACCGAGACAAGTAGATAATAACACTAACAATACAAGTATATCATAATCCTAACAATATGATCAGATTTTATTTTATCTTGATGTCCATATATGGCAACTAATCTACTACTAAATAAAAGGATTTTTCGTTGCTATAAAATTAATTGAAACTTATTTACCAAAATTGTCCAAGATTTGTATATTACCCGCCCTAGTTGTAGTTTGCTTACGATTTATATACAATCCAGTATTAATGTATTAAATTAGGGGATTCAGTTATACCCTTTTCCTTTTTTTCTCTCCTATGCTCTTTCCTAATTCTCTACAGTGTATTCAGTTATATCTCCTAATCATTGGTAGCCTCAACTGGATCATTAATGTAACAACACGACCAATTGTTTTGAGTATTTACGCTCCTTTCAACTATTTGAAATCTTGAATAACTTTCTACGAGATATTATGACTTGTGTGAATTGTTAGTTGTGGTTTTAAGGTATTTTGGAGTTAGTTTGGAAGAATGAATTTCATGTTGGAAGTTTAAATTGAAATAGTTGACCGAATGTTGTCTTATGTGTAAACGACCCCGGAATAGAGTTTTGATGATTCCAATTGCTCCGTATGGTGATTTTGGACTTAGGAGCGTGTCCGAAAAATTATTTGGAGGTCGGTAGAGGAATTAGGCTTGAAATGGCGAAAGTTAAAATTTTGGGAAGTTTGACCGGGTAGTTGACTTTTTGATATCGGAGCCAGAATTCAGTTCTGAAAATTTTCATATATCCATTATGTCATTTATGACTTGTGTGCAAAATTTGAGGTCAATCCAAATTGATTTGGTACGTTTCAGCACAACATATAGAAGTTGGAAGATTTGAAAACTCATAATTTGATTCGATGCGCGATTCATAATTTTGGCGTTATTTGGCATGGTTTGAAGCCTCAACTAAGTTCGTATTGTGTTTTGGGACATGTTGGTAAATTTGGTTAAGGTTCCGAGGGCCTCGGGTGGATTTCGGAAGGTTAACAGAATGGATTTCGGACAAAAGGAGCTGCTGGAATTTTTCTGCTGCAGAAGCTGTTTTTGGACAGCAACTGGTGCAATCGCAGAGTTTATTTTGGAAGCTTATATATCGAAATCTATAAGGAATCGGAAATGTTTCAAAACATTAAAGTTGTAGCTCTTTGATTTTAGTTTCCATAAAGTTAAACCATTCATCATTTGGACATTTATTCTGAAAGTTATGGTCGACTGAATGAAGGCTGGTAAAGCAGTTTCGCCAGAAATTTCTGATGCATGGAGCCAACTTTGGAGGCTTATATCTCGAAATCTATAAGGAATCTAAAAAGTATCAAAACACGAAAGTTATAGCTCTTTGATTCTAGTTTCTAAAAAGTTAAACCATCTATCATTTGGATAATTGTACAGAAAGTTATGAGTGACTAAATGAAGGCGGGTAGCAGTTTATATTTGCCCGAAAATCAGGCAAAGTCGCATTTCACACATGCGACTTGCTTGGGCAGAATGCTTAAAAACGGGAGTTAGCCATTTTTACTCATTTTTGAGTTTTGAGTCTCGGATTTGTGCGATTCGAAAGGATTTTTCACGACTTCAACTTGGGTAAGTGTCCTATATCTAAAAGTGATTATATTTTATAAATCCATGGTTATATTCATCATTTATTTCGGATTTAAATGGAAGAAATCAAGATTTTTGCAAAACTTTTCAAGAATGAAAATTTTAGATTTGGAGGTTGAGTTATTATCGGAATTTGATAAAATTAATATGGGTGGACTCGTAATTGAATGGGTTGTCGGATTTTGTGAGTTTTGTCACATTCCGAGACGTGGGGCCCAAGGGCATTTTTGAGTTAAATTTTGGATATTTATGAAAAATTTGTATTTTCTTATGGAATTAATTCCAATAAATTTTATTGATTGAATCGAATTATTTGTGGCTAGATTCGAGGCATTTGGAGGCCAATTCACGAGGCAAAGGCTTAGCGGAATAAGAATTTCATGGTTTGAGGTAAGTAACAGTTTTAAATCTAGTCCTGAGGGTATGAAATCCCAGATTACTGTATTATGTGAGTATTTTGGAGGTGACGCACATGCTAGGTGATAGGTGTGTGGGCATGCACCGTGGAAATTGGGACTTGGTCCATTCCGTGAAACTAGAAAGCTGAATAAGCTTGTCGTTAGCTATGTGGCCTTTCTGTACTATAAAAATTTGATAGTGAAGCATGCTTAGGCTATGTGTTAGTGCTGTAAAGACCACAGAGGTCTTGTACATATTGAATTATCTACTAAATTGTTGTTTTGTACTCAGTCACAGTTTACTTGTTTATTTTATCTCGGTCTCTATTGTTCATTATTGATGCATCATATTATTATTATTTGGGTTGAGTATCATGACTATTGAGAGCCCGAGAGACTGGAGAGATTTATGACTGAGTGAGGCCGAGGGCCTGATTGTGAGATATTATACTATAGCACGTGAGTTATCCGTGCAGCACGTGAGTTGTCCGTGCGGATCCTTATATTATACTATAGCACATGAGTTATCCGTGCGAATCCAGATATTAATACTATGGCACATGAGTTGTCCGTGTAGCACGTGAGTTGTCCGTGCAGATTATAGAGCTTGGGCTGTAGGAGCCCCTCCGGAGTCTGTACACCCCCCCAATGAGCGCGGGTATCCATTGAGTGTGAATGCTGAGGGCTGAGAGCCGAGTGGTTGAGTTGTTGTGATGAGTTTAGTAATTGTTGCCCTGAGAGGTTGTACTTGCTTTTCATTTGTTGTTGCAGTTAGTTTCTATCTATCATTGTTGTGAAATTCTCTGAAAGATTTTATATCTGGATTACATGTAACTTGAACTGTATAAAACTGATTTGACTTAAACTGCTGGAATTGAAAGTATGTCTACTCTCTACTGGAATTACTAAAAATGAACTGTAACTGTGTAGCTCGTCACTATCTTCGAATCCTTATTTATTATTATTACTTGCTGAGTTGGTTGTACTCATACTACACCCTGCATTTCGTGTGCAGATCCAGGTATTTCCGGACATAGCGGGTGTTGATTCTTTCGCACAGTTGATTTTTCAGAGATTCAGAGGTAGCTGCCGTGTTTCGCAGATCTTGCCTCTCCTTCCCCATCTCCTTGTTTACTGTATTTGGTCTCAGACTATTATAGACCGTATTTTCCAGACTTGTATTCATATTAGATGCTCATGTACTCAGTGATACCAGGTTTTGGGAGTATTTATATTTGTACTTGTGAGATTTCTTCCGCTGAATTTAATCATTATGTTTTCAAATTTAAAAGATATGTGGTTTATTGAGATTGTCGGCTTGCCTAGTATTGAGATAGGCGTCATCACGGCGAGTTAGGTTTTGGATCGTGACAATTAGTCATCAATGCATCGTAAGAATTTGGACTATTTCCCCAATTTTCATCCCCATTCAATATGGTCTCGTAAACATTCAACATCCTCATTGTCACTGGAATTTGCAACCAGTAATTCATGCCCAACTTCTTTTTCCTTTAGCCCAATTTTATTAGGAGAAGTAGACGTAGGTTGCCTATCTTATAAATTCCAAGTACATCCAGGATTTTCAACAACATCACCTTGATCACACTACTAAAAAAATATTAGTTTGTGATTGAAATTTCCGACTGAAAATGAAGGAGTCGTTAATGGGACTACTTTTGCGACTGTTGTAGTCGGAACCAGACTGAAGTTTTATTACTTTTTTTAAAGAGAAATTCGACTATTATTCTGACGAAATCAGTGGGAAAATAGCGTGCTAATTTTCCACCTTCACTTTTGCAACCGATTCGGTCGGACAATAAAAAGTCAAAAATATTAGTTGACCAACAAAGCGATGGCGTCGGTCGCAAAGTTAATAGTAAAATGGTAAAAGAATATTTAAGTTATTTTGGGACCACGGTAGTCAGAAATCTAAATTTAATATTTCAGGCCAAAACACTATTTCCCCAAATTCTGCAAGACCTTTTCCCCCAATTCCCCCCCCCCCCCCCC